CTTCCCTTCCCTTCCCTTCCCTTCCCTTCCCTTCCCTATCTTTCCTCCTAGGCAGCAGAAACATCACAAAATATATAAAATACATAGCTCATTTCACCTTTTCCTGAAGAATTTTTAATCCCAACCCCTCAAATCACGAGGTTTGGGAAATAAACGTAACCCTCAATGCCACCGAGTCCCACGGAGCAGATTTGTCCTCCAGCACGTCGGAGAAGCAGAAATTGTAATTGTAATTGAAATTGTAATTGAAATCCTGTGATTTGGACAAATCCCGCTCCGGCATTTATTCGCCACCCCTGTTTTTAGGTCTGTTTAGGGGTTATTATTACAGGTGGCAAGAACAGAACTGATCTCCCAGGGCCTGACAAGGCAGTGGAAGTTCATCGCCTGACACCTCTTTGACCATCGTGGTAAGATGTAATTTCCTCCCAGGTTGGATTTCAGGACTGATACGTCTCAGGCAGAGCCACGGGGTAGTTACAGCTGCAGCAGCAGCCACGGAAGGGCGAGTTAGAGGAAAAAAAAAAAGGGGGATGGATAAGATTCAAGGTCATCTTTAAACACAGGGACTCGCTGTTGAAACAAGGGCAGCTTTGTTTTGTTCTAGCGTTCACTCCATCTCAAATAGCTCCCGTGGTCTATCACCGTCTGACACCTCTTTGGAATTATCCAAGGGGGATGAACAGACCTTTCCTGGCACCATTCATCCGAGATATTGCATTTTTATACTTGGAGTTTATATTTTTATAATTGGATTTGCAGAACGCAGAGAGCCAAGTCTGGTTTGACGCGCCAGAAGGCCGTGCCACCGTCCAGCGTGACCTGAACAGGCTGGAGAGGTGGGTGGTGAGGAACCTCATGAAGTTCAACAAGGACAAGAGCAGGGGGCTGCACCTGGGGAGGAATAACCCCATGGACCAGGAGGGGGTGGGGGTGACATGCTGGAGAGCAGCTCTGCAGAGAGAAAACTAGGAGTCCTGGTGGGCAACAAGTTGACCATGAGCCATCATCGTGCCCACGTGGCCAAGAAAACCAATGGTCTCCTGGAGGGCACTAAGAAGAGCGTGGCCAGCAGGTCAAAAGAGGTCATCCTGCCTGGGAGTCCTGGTGGGCAACAAGTTGACCACGAGCCATCATCACGCCCATGTGGCCAAGAAAACCAATGGTCTCCTGGGGGACATTAAGAAAAGCGTGGCCAGCAGGTCAAAGGAGGTCATCCTACCCCTCTGCTCTGCCCTGGGGAGCCCACAGCTGGAGCACTGGGACCAGTTCTGGGCCCACCAGTTCCAGAAGGACAGGGAACTGCTGGAGAGAGTCCAGAGGAGGCTAGGAAGATGATCAAGGGACTGGAGCATCTCTCTGCTGAGGAAAGAGTGAGACCTGGGGCTGTTCAGCCTGGAGAAGAGCATACTGAGAGGGGACCTCATCGATGTTGAGCAAAAGCTAAAGGGCGGGTGGCAAGAAGATGGGGCCAGACTCTTCCCAGTTATGCCCAGGGACAGGACAAGGGACAACGGGCACAAACTGGAAAATGGGAAATTCCATCTAAACATGAGGAAAGAGTTTATTTTGAGGGTGGCAGAGCCCTGGCAGAGGCTGCCCAGAGAGGTGGTGGAGTCTCCTTCTCTGGAGACATTCAAACCCCACCTGGAGACGTTCCTGTGGGACCTGCTCTGGGTGGCCCTGCTCTGGCAGGGGTTGGACTGGATGATCTCCAGAGGTTCCTTCCAACCCCATGGGATTCTGTGATATCGTCAGGTGCTGCATCACCACCCTGCTTTGAATGTACCCGATTTCCCCAGACTTGTCCCAATAACTTTGTAGCATCGATAAAAACAACTATACTTGCTTTTTTAACTTACAGGTCGCAGTTTTCCGTAGGAAGTTTCGGGAGGAATCCGTGGAGGTTGTGAGAATCCCGGGGACTCGGAACTGAAGCTGTTTTCTGGAAGAGTAAGCAAGAGCCCACCCTCAGTATCGATGGATTAACTTTGTGGGGTGAAAAAAGCTGCTTTTTTTCCTCCCCCCTCTGAAATACGACCATTCTAAATGAAGCGTTTGAGCTGAAATATTTCTTTTATTATCTAGAAAATTCCTTACCATTAGTTGAGGGCGACCTGGGGAAGTACTGAGAACCTCTTTTATCTGGACTGTGGTAGGGACTGGTGGGAGGCTGGTCATAGAGCGGCAGCGGCGGAAGGGCGTTATTAGGCTTCGGAGTGGGGGACACCTGTGTTAAAAAGAGGGTGGGGGATGCAGAAATCTTTACTCCTCGGTGGTTTTTATTGTACACACCAAACCCCAGTCAGTTCTCCCACACATCACTACGCCAGGAACTTGCATCTGGAGAAAAATCATCTGTCAAAAGCGCCGTCAGGGACGTTTGGGAAGGAAAACCAAGGTGAAAACCAAGGTATCCAACGGGGATAATTGCTTTTTCTAAATCACAGGTTGCCACCAAGCAGAAATTTTCATCCTCTCCCGGATAATTCAGGTGGACTTTTTGAAGGCTAGCAGAAAAAAATCGTTCCACCAAGTGTGTTTCTCCACTATATTCACACAAAAGAGTTAAGATCCTGAGTTTTACTATATTCACACAAAAGAGTTAAGATCCTGGTTTTTATCCCATCTCCGCTGCATATTTATCAGTTAAACATTAAGTTTTCAGGGTATTCCCAAATCCCATCTCAGCTGCGTATTTATCAGTTAAATGTTAAGTTTTCAGGGTATTCCCAAATCAAAGGATAAAAACACTGGAGGAATTACTTTGTAGGGAACGTGGAAGTCCAGTTTCTAGCACCACAATCACCCATGAGAATGTGTCTGATTTTCTAATATGATATAGGGACTACAGAACTATACTGAATTGAGGATGTTTTTGCAGAAATTACTGTAATACAATATTCACCGCTATTCTGCCCCTCAGAAAGTGAGAGAATAGAGAACGGATTTAAGTATGAAAACATTAAATTAGGGCCGAGGGAGCCTGTAATTCTCTTTTTGCCAGGTTGTGTTTGACGGCTCAGGCAGTGCCATAAACTAACTCCAGGAAGCAGACTGTGAATTTTCTCCTTTGGTTCATTTCCTTTCTACCTTTGTTCACAAATCTGTTACATTTGCCACAATGTATCAGTAATTATTAGGCTGGGTAAGAAATTAAAATGTAAGCACTCAGGGTTAGTTATTATTTTTTCTTAAATTAGTTCTGATTTTTTTTTTCTCTAAAGAAGAGGCAGATCTTCCAAAAAACCCCAAACAAATTAAGATTATACGTTCAAGCTGGCACCTTGACTCTTTCCATACCTGAATATCTCCAATCCACTGAGTCTCCCCGTTCTGCGAGGCCGTCAGCTCTTCCACTAATACTGATGGGAAGACCCCAACGCGGCCGTTGAATTCTCCTTCCCAAAAACCATCATCATCTTGATTTTCCTTGTTCAAGATGCGGATGATGGCTCCCTCCGGGAAGGACAGCTCGTCGTCTGTCTGGCCCTCGTAATCGTAAAGTGCTTTTACAAAACAGACTGGAGAATGGGGGGAAAATAAGAATATTAATATGGAATTAGGATGAACTTAAAAAAAAGACCATAGAATCAGAGAATGGTTGAGGTTGGAAGGGATCTTTCCGATCACGGAGTCCAACCATCAACCCAACGACGACAAAAACCATCACGTTATTGTACACGATCAAGGACTATATATAATTGCAGAGTCAAATTATTTTAGCTTTCTTTATTTTTAGCTAATGTTGATCTCAATTCTAAATTCAATTAACAGTTGTTCTCGGATACAGGTCAAATATGAGGAATTCTCACGTGCGACGTCCGAACTCGAGACGTGGAACTGTGCCAAGAACAAGCTTAAAATACTCTCTATATTTTTACTGGTATTTACCACTGGAGTCTCCATTCAGGCTGCCTGAGACTAAATCAGCCTCGGTGGAGTTATTTGAGGTGTGGGAACGAGTATCCAGCGCCGCCAGGGACTGGAGCATACTCAGGAGGCTGCTGGAGGTCGGGAACTGCAGGTACTTCTCCGGCACGTAACCCACTTGACCCACTTTATTCCGTGCCTGGAAGAGAACGACAGAAAAGATGCTCTGTTTTGGCAAAGAATCCAAATCACAGAATCACAGAATGATCTGGGGTTGGAAGAGACCTCTGGAGATCATCCAGTCCAACCTCCTGCCAGAGCAGGGCCACCCAGAGCAGGTCCCACAGGAACGTGTCCAGGTGGGGTTGGAATGTCTCCAGAGAAGGAGACTCCACCACCTCTCTGGGCAGCCTCTGCCAGGGCTCTGCCACCCTCAAAGTGAAGAAGTTCCTCCTCGTGTTGAGGTGGAACTTCTTCTATTCAAGTTTGTGCCCATTTCCTCTTGTTCTGTCCCTGGGCATCACTGAAAAAAGACTGGCCCCATCCTCCTGACACCCACCCTTGAAGGATTTAGAGGTGTTGATCAGATCCCCCCTCAGCCTTCTCTTCTCCAGACTAAAAAAGCCCCAAATCCCTCAGCCTCTACTCATCAGAGATGTTCTAGTCCCCTCATCATCTCTGTAGCCCCTTTGTAAATCCTTTCTCCCATCCCAAGCTCTCGTTCTAAAAGTAATGGGGAAAATAAACCATCTCAGGTAAATGATACCTTCACCCAGTCTTCCATATCTCCATCTTCAATAACCTCCAACACCTCGTGTTCCTCTATGGTCAGCTCATCTGGCTGAGAAGCCTGAAGGAAATAACAGGAAAATTAGAATCACAGAATCACAGAATCTTCTAGGTTGGAAGGGACCTTAAAGATCATCTTGTCCAACCATCAACCTAACTGACAAAAATAGACACCCACACAACAAACAAGGAGCATCATCACTAAACCATACCTCCCAGCACTACATCAACCCGTCTTTTGAACACCTCCAGGGATGGTGCCTCAACCACCTCCCTGGGCAGCCCATGCCAATGCCTGATGACCCTTTCAGTGAAAAAATTTTTCCTAATATCCAGCCTGAAAAGAAAAGTGTTTTCAGGCAGCGTAAATAATATTCACATCCAAGTACGATTTTTCTAAAAACAAAAAAATTAAAATTTGATGATAGAGTGTGCTTTAAAACATATTAAAAAGGGTTTTTCTGGTGCTCACAAGACCTTTTCTGAGCCCCGAGCTCCATCGGGAGCTCCCTGGATCCCACCCAACGCGTCCAACCCAATTTACTTTCCAAGCCCTAATTACCCCGTGCTCTGCCGCGGGCTCCGGTGTGATTTACAGCCCCCCCAGCGGCGGTAAAGAGCCTGAAATGCAGTTTGTCAGCGGAGCCTCAACTCCTGAATGGTGGTTTCAGGATCCTGGCACAAAGAGGAGCTTTGTGGGGCGGGCGTCGCAAGAGGAGGGGTTTCTCATCCTCCAACACAACTCATTTTTTCACAGCTCAACCTTTGAGATATTTAACGTGTCCCGTTATTCAGCCAAACGCCCGAAGTTCTGCCCCAAACTCCCACCCAACAGTTACATCTCTCCTTTGGTTCTTGCCTCGTTCATTTTTTGTTAATGGCTTAAAAAAATATAAATCACAAACCTTATACGAATAAACAACTTTGCAGGTGAGAGGGTAATTCCTTAGAGTACCAGAAGGACTAGAGCTACTGTCATCAAACACATCCATGCTGTCTTCAAACTCTTCACCTTCTTCCTTTTCTGCATCGGCGTTGATCTGGTAAAAGGAATTGCATTTAGCATTAAACCAGCAAAGAAAAATCAGCGAAGAAATAAGAGTATGAATGAATCCATCAATATTCTTCTCTTTTTTTACTAACGATTATTGAACCTGGACCAAAAAAAATGATGACTAAATAATATTCAATGTACGATTCTTCAATAATAACAGCAGGGAAACAAATACAACAAAGCAAATTAAATAAGAGCTTTGTCACCAAATTAACATCTTTGCTTTACTCAGCTGGATTTCTCCGTTCTCCATTCGAGCACAAGGTGTGGGCTTTAAAAAGAACCAGAGAAGATTTTGGAAGCTCCAACTCAACTCCTGGACGTGATTTATTTTACAGATAAGCATCAGGAGAGGGACCAATGTGTTTTGGAGAGGGGGTTTTGGAGACAGAGCAAATAAGTTTAATGGAAACAAGAGTCACTGACGGAGAATTTATGCGGCTCAAAGATTAATGTACCTGTGACCACAAGCTATGAAATGGAAATACTTAAACTTGACCAAAAAAAAAAAAGAAATTAAAAAGAAAAATCAGCCTTCCAGCTGGTGTTTTCTGCTCAATCGATTTGCTGCAGTTTATTATTAAAAAAAAAACCCCAAAAAAAAAAAAGAAATTAAAAAGAAAAATCAGCCTTCCAGCTGGTGTTTTCGCTTTAAAAAGAACCAGAGAAGATTTTGGAAGCTCCAACTCAACTCCTGGACGTGATTTATTTTACAGATAAGCATCAGGAGAGGGACCAATGTGTTTTGGAGAGGGGGTTTTGGAGACAGAGCAAATAAGTTTAATGGAAACAAGAGTCACTGACGGAGAATTTATGCGGCTCAAAGATTAATGTACCTGTGACCACAAGCTATGAAATGGAAATACTTAAACTTGACCAAAAAAAAAAAAGAAATTAGAAAGAAAATTCAGCCTTCCAGCTGGTGTTTTCTGCTCAATCGATTTGCTGCAGTTTATTATTAAAAAAAAAACCAACAAAATGAAATTAGAGAAAGAACGATGATTAAAAACTAGCTGTAAAAGTTTAAATAAAACCCAAAGTCGAAACAGCAGAAAAATACAAGTTTCTATAAATGTAGTTTGGGCACCGGTGACACGAGCTGTGCTTTGGCCTCGTGCCTGGAGGAAATTCTGAATAAACACATTATCTATTGTGAAAAACAGGCAAGTCCTTCCAATCAAAGGCGACGCTGTTATGGATTCGCCGTCTTCCCCTTTATTCCTTCAACTTGGGGGTGAATTTGGTATTCCTCAGGACAACTAAAAGGCTGATAAATCAAGAAAAATTCAGGCTGAGGCCAAAAAGGGACTCTGCAGGCTCCCAAAGGAGTTCATAGTTTTCCGAGTGGGGTTAATTTTTATCTTCTAATTTCTAGACCACATGATTGGAATTCATACGTTGGGGGTTTTTTATTCCCATTTCCATCCAAGTGCAGTTGCATCCATCGCCACTTCAATGCCTTCGCGGATGTTGCAGTAACAAAATAACACTTTGATATATTACCAACTATAAATTAGGGTAAATTTAAGGTTTTCCCCCTCCAGTTTCTAACTGCCTTTCGCTGCGCACGGTCCGTGTCCCAGCAGCCATAAGGACCATCATGGAAATTAGTGGCTCATGTCTAGAAAGACTCTTTCGTAAAACATCCTGTTTTCTAAGGCAAGGAAGAAAAATAGATGTTTAATTTTCAGTGTGTGGGCTGCTCAAACTCCTCCAACAGTGTCCTTTGCAAAGCAGGCAGAGAGAGGGAAAGCAGTGTTAAGGATACAGAAGACTTAGCAGCTGGTGTCATGAAGCTCATCTTTCATCAGAGCCTGGTGGTGTTTTTCAACAACGGGTATTTAGGGAGTGAAACCACAACTTGGTGTGGGTTTGGTGGTAGCAGATGACAATCACGCTTGAGTATGGATCAGTAACCTAATGTTTAGAATCACAGAATGGTCGAGGTTGGATGAGATCACTGAGATCATGGAGTCCAACCATCAACCCACCACTGACAAACCCACCACTGACCCATGTCCCTCAGCACCACCTCTGCCCGGCTTTGAAATCCCTCCAGGGATGGTGACTCCACCACTGCCCTGGGCAGCCTCTGCCAAGGCTTGACAACCCTTCCATGAAGAAATCATTCCTAATCTCCATCCTAAACCTCCCCTGGGGCAACTTGAGGCCATTTCCTCTTGTCCCATGGCCTGTTCCTTGGGAGAAGAGACCGACCCCCCCCCTGGCTACACCCTCCTTTCAGGGAGTTGGAGAGAGCCAGAAGGTCTCCCCTCAGCCTCCTTTTCTCCAGGCTCAACATCCCCAGTTCCCTCAGAAGTTCTCCAGACCCTTCTCCTTGTGCTCCAGACCCCTCACCAGCTCCGTTGCCCTTCTCTGGACACACTCCAGCCCCTTAATGTCTTTCCTGTTGTGAGGGGCCCAAAATTGGACCCAGCCCTCAAGGTGGGGAAGCTTTTGGGGCATGTATACTAGGAAAAAAAATATGGATTCCTACCTGAGCTTATGCATTTCATCATCATATGAGAAAGCCACTGGAGAGGTGATGGGATATTAACTCAGAATCACAGAATGATGTGGGGTTGGAAGGGACCTCTGGAGATCATCCAGTCCAACCCCCTGCCAGAGCAGGTCCCACCCAGAGCAGGTCCCACAGGAACGTGTCCAGGTGGGGTTGGAATGTCTCCAGAGAAGGAGACTCCACCACCTCTCTGGGCAGCCTCTGCCAGGGCTCTGCCACCCTCACAGTGAAGAAGTTCCTCCTCATGTTTCCTCCAGCTTATGATATCACTGCAGGAGGGTAAATAAATACAGTGATATCGAGCCATTAATGCTGTTTCTTCTTTTTAAAAAGAAAATATTCTGAGAGCTTTGCTGAACAGATTATGTCACAATAAACACCAGCCCAAAGAGCAGCGCAGGACGCCGGGGCGGCAGGTAACGGGTTTCTGAACATTAATCACCGCTCACTCGTTAAGGATGAAGTGAAAGTGCTGCTTGTTATGCACTGCAGGAATTCTAATAATTGCAGGCAGCGTAATTTCGGGACCAGTTCTAAGAATTCCATCTCCGGGTTGTCCTCATCTGGCCTGCCAAGGTCAACAGCATCTTTATTTTTCAATCCGGGAGGGTACGTAAGTGTAAATGGGGAAAAATAAGAATCAGAGTTTAACCTCCCACGCCGTGGCATCTGCTGGCTCGCCGGGGGGTTTGGCTCGGTGGCCAACCCTTGGCACGTCTGCTGAGACGGAGAAGGAGGTGCTGGGCACAATCCAACGCGCGTGAGGGGAAGAAAAAGGAGGTGGAGGATAAGGAAAAAGGGAAAAAAATCAACCCTGTTAAACGGAGGGTAAGACATCCTCATCTGTTTGGGCTAGAAAGGATCTGAAATGACACTCGGAGAGAGAATTCCTGTGGGATTTGGGAAGGCTGGAGATTGGATCTGTTCACTCCAGCTTGAATCTGTAATTATACTCCTAAGGATGGGAATAATGAGACAGACTGGGCAGAGCTGGGATTTTATAACAACCTTTACTGCAAATCCCCGTCCCTGTGTTTGAGCTCCATGTGTGATATCCTAGAAGAAAGATCCCAGAAGAAAGATCGCAGAAGGAACATCCCCGAAGAAACATCCCAGAAGAAAGATCCCAGAAGAAATATCCCAGAAGAAAGATCCCAGAAGATCCCAGAAGAAACATCCCAAAAGAAACATCCCAGAAGAAAGATCCCAGAAGAAAGATCCCAGAAGAAACATCCCAGAAGAAACATCCCAGAAGAAAGATCCCAGAAGATCCCAGAAGAAACATCCCAGAAGAAACATCCCAAAAGAAACATCCCAGAAGAAAGATCCCAGAAGAAATATCCCAGAAGAACCATCCCAGAAGACACATCCCAACACCCTGAAGAAAACAGAGCGGATTCAGTGCTCCCTCGCTCTTTTCAACTAAAGTTATTCCTACCTGAGCTTATGCATTTCATCATCATATGAGAAAGCCACTGGAGAGGTGATGGGATATTAACTCAGAATCACAGAATGATGTGGGGTTGGAAGGGACCTCTGGAGATCATCCAGTCCAACCCCCTGCCACAGCAGGGCCACCCAGAGCAGGTCCCACAGGAACGTGTCCAGGTGGGGTTTGAATGTCTCCAGAGAAGGAGACTCCACCACCTCCCTGGGCAGCTTCTTCCAGGGCTCTGCCACCCTCACAGGGAAGAAGTTCCTCCTCATGTTTCCTCCAGCTTATGATACCATTGCAGGAGGATAAATAAATACAGTGATATCGAGCCATTAATGCTGTTTCTTTTTTTAAAAAAGAAAATATTCTGAGAGCTTTGCTGAACAGATTATGTCACAATAAACACCAGCCCAAAGAGCAGCGCAGGACGCCGGGGCGGCAGGTAACGGGTTTCTGAACATTAATCACCGCTCACTCGTTAAGGATGAAGTGAAAGTGCTGCTTGTTATGCACTGCAGGAATTCTAATAATTGCAGGCAGCGTAATTTCGGGACCAGTTCTAAGAATTCCATCTCCGGGTTGTCCTCATCTGGCCTGCCAAGGTCAACAGCATCTTTATTTTTCAATCCGGGAGGGTACGTAAGTGTAAATGGGGAAAAATAAGAATCAGAGTTTAACCTCCCACGCCGTGGCATCTGCTGGCTCGCCGGGGGGTTTGGCTCGGTGGCCAACCCTTGGCACGTCTGCTGAGACGGAGAAGGAGGTGCTGGGCACAATCCAACGCGCGTGAGGGGAAGAAAAAGGAGGTGGAGGATAAGGAAAAAGGGAAAAAAATCAACCCTGTTAAACGGAGGGTAAGACATCCTCATCTGTTTGGGCTAGAAAGGATCTGAAATGACACTCGGAGAGAGAATTCCTGTGGGATTTGGGAAGGCTGGAGATTGGATCTGTTCACTCCAGCTTGAATCTGTAATTATACTCCTAAGGATGGGAATAATGAGACAGACTGGGCAGAGCTGGGATTTTATAACAATCTTTACTGCAAATCCCCGTCCCTGTGTTTGAGCTCCATGTGTGATATCCTAGAAGAAAGATCCCAGAAGAAAGATCGCAGAAGGAACATCCCCGAAGAAACATCCCAGAAGAAAGATCCCAGAAGAAATATCCCAGAAGAAAGATCCCAGAAGATCCCAGAAGAAACATCCCAAAAGAAACATCCCAGAAGAAAGATCCCAGAAGAAAGATCCCAGAAGAAACATCCCAGAAGAAACATCCCAGAAGAAAGATCCCAGAAGATCCCAGAAGAAACATCCCAGAAGAAACATCCCAAAAGAAACATCCCAGAAGAAAGATCCCAGAAGAAATATCCCAGAAGAACCATCCCAGAAGACACATCCCAACACCCTGAAGAAAACAGAGCGGATTCAGTGCTCCCTCGCTCTTTTCAACTAAAGTTGACATAAATCAAAATATCCGTACACCCAAAAAACCCCCTCTCCCTCTAAGGGTTTGCCACCGTTCCCAAGAAAACAATAAGGAGGGAGAAAAACACGGAGAAACATGGGAACGGGCAGGATTTCTTGCGTGTTTGCTGAAATGGAGCTTTTTGTTTCTCTTTGGTGGTCGGCGAAAGCAAAGCATCCACCAAATTGTCAGCGATGCCATGAAAAACCACATTCCCATTCCCCCTCAAAGTTTCGTTACATTCTGGCTGCCCAAAGCTTCTAAGATTAAAAAGAAAGAGTGAATTAAGGAATTTCAAGAGTGTACGAAGCCTAGAGTTAGGCAAGTATCCACAGGCAAAGCTAGACTTTATGAAAGCCTCTGAATTTCGTTAAATGTTACATAAACAGGCACAGAAAATGAAAAATTTGAGGCAAACTGAGTAAACCTTCAGGAATTTTATTTGAGTTGGTTACTAGGGAAGAGCAGCAGATTGGGTGGTTTTACTGCCAAAGGTGACAGCTCAGCATCGCGGGCTGTGTAGGGCAATTCAAAAAAATCAGAGAATCATAGAATTGTCCAGGTTGGAAGGAACCCTTAAGATCATCAAGTCCAACCACCAACATAACTGATAAAAAAACATCACTAAACCCTGTCTCTAAGCTCTATGTCAACCTGACTTTTAAATCCCTCCAGGGATGGTGCCTCAACCACTGCCCATTCCAAGGCTTAATAACCCTTTCAGTGTAAACATTAGGCTTAATGACCCTTTCCATGGAAACATTTTTCCTAATATCCATCCTAAACCTCCCCTGGGGCAACTTGAGGTCATTTCCTCTTGTCCCATGGCCTGTTCCTTGGGAGAAGAGACCGACCTCCCCTGGCTACACCCTCCTTTCAGGGAGTTGGGGAGAGCCAGATGGTCTCCCCTCAGCCTCCTTTTCTCCAGGCTCAACACCCCCAGCTCCCTCAGAAGTTCTCCAGACCCTTCTCCTTGTGCTCCAGACCCCTCACCAGCTCCGTTGCCCTTCTCTGGACCCGCTCCAGCCTCTCAATGTCAAAAAAGGGGAATATCAGCTCTTTTAGCAGTTCCTGTTTTCTGAACAGGGTGGGTTCAGGCAGCTGCTCGACTCAGTGATCTCTATGTTTTTTTAAAACGTATCATTCTTCAGGAGAGGAGAGGGGAGAGAAATGAGAAATGAGTTTGCTTTTTATTCTTTCTTGAATTGAATAAAAATGTGCTTTCTTCCAAGCTTAACAGGTGAGAAATGTCTCAGGCCAATTTTGCAAACCAACTACAGACGTTACAAACACAATTACTCTTACGTGTTACCGAGAACAAAATCATTACCAGCCTCCCATCGATCCAAGTTGGGTTTTAGTTCAATTTGGGGGATATTGGATGAAATATTCAAAAGATCTAGCGGGACTTCAGGCAGAGTGAGCCATACTCAGGTAACTGAATTGAACAGTTTTCAAAGTTACCAACTCTTTGGATGAAATCAGAGAATAAAAGAATGGTTCAAGTTGGAAGGGACCTAAAGATCATCTAGTTCCAACCCCCCGCCCTGGGCAGGGACACCTCCCACCACACCAGGTTGCTCCAAGCCCCCTCCAACCTGGCCTTGAACCCCTCCAGGGATGGGGCAGCCACAGCTTCTCTGGGCAAGAAATTCAGAAGCGATCAAGTTTGTGCTTCGTTCTGATTTAAATCCTTAACTGCTTGAGGTGAAACTAATTATTCATCTAGAAAATGTCAAACATTGACTGTATCTCAAACAACGGGGCAGCAACTCACAGGTGAAGAGTGGTAACATCTACATCCACACCAAATCCACTTGGAGCAACCTGGTCCGGTGGGAGGTGTCCCTGCCCAGGGCAGGGGGGTTGGAACTTGATCTTTAATGTCCCTTCCAACTCGAACCATTCTATAATTCTATGAAATTCCTTAAGGGAACCATCTGACCCTGCTCAAAGGAACAGACAGTCCATTTTCCAAATCTTTCACTGATTTTTCATGAATCAAATTTTCATCTCAACTACCCAAATCAATTTGGAAAACTCCCTTTGCTTTCTTGATTGACTTTCACTGCGATCTGCACACAAACGACTCCGGAAGAGATGATGCGGAGTTGATATTTTTCTCAATATTTGGGGAAAAAAACCAACCCCAGCCTTTCATCCAAGCATCTCCGATAACACCGGCAACTATTAATGAAACTTCAAAGAAACACGCGCACGTTTTCCTTTCCAGGAGATGGCAAATTAACGTTATGGCACTTATCCAAAGTCAGAAAAATCAAACTCAGGAACAAACCCCAGAAATCCATATTTTTTTGGGGTTTCCTACATGAAATTCAGCGATGTAATGCAATAAGATTTTTCCAGTGAGCAACCAACCAACCCAATATGATGGATCTGGTTTTCTATTGGATTTACAAGTCGGAAACCCTTACCAGGTGTGAAGAGCCGTTGTTGGTCACCGAAGGCAGGCTGGCCCAACGTTCATTTTCCAGTTCTTCCATCACTTGGTTCATGGCACTTTTGAGCCACGTGTCCACGGACACACCGATCTGCTTCAGCAGGTCAAGACGGGCTTCCGCTTTCAGCTTAATTATCTGCAGGAATAAACAACGCAACGGGTCAGAATTCTTCCAAGATTACATTTTGCTCCTCGCCACCAAACAAATGTGTTAGTTCCTGATCCCGCAAATTAAGGAAATTACACAAATAGGTGGCTCCAAAAGCTGCTCCACGCGGAAACGAGGCCAGTTCTTCATTTCCTCGCCTGCGGGAACACGGCGCGAGCCAAGAGACGGGGGATGGTTTCCTTGAGATGTAAAACTACAGGCACAGCCACTTTCACAAGCTGGTGGTTTTGAAATAACACCTATTAGTTCGTGCTAATTTTCTATTAATATATTAGAATCATAGAATTTGATAGGTTGAAGCTGGAAGGGACCTTTCATCAAGTCCAACCATCAACTCAACACTGACAAACCCACCACTGACCCATGTCCCTCAGCACCACGTCTGCCCGGCTTTGAAATCCCTCCAGGGATGGTGACTCCACCACTGCCCTGGGCAGCATCTGCCAAGGTTTGACAACCCTTTCAGTAAAGAAATTCCTCCTAATCTCCATCCTAAACCTCCCTGGTGCAACTTGAGGCCGTTTCCCCTTGTCCCATGGCCTGTTCCTTGGGAGAAGAGACCAACCCCCCCTGGCTACACCCTCCTTTCAGGGAGTTGGAGAGAGCCAGAAGGTCTCCCCGCAGCCTCCTTTTCTCCAGGCTCAACACCCCCAGCTCCCTCAGTTGGTCCTCACAAGACTTGTGCTCCAGACCATCGCAAGTCTTGTGCTCCAGACCCCTCACCAGCGTGTCCCTTCTGTGGACACGCTCCAGCCCCTCAAGATCGTTTTTGTGGTGAGGTGTCCAAAACTGGACCCAGCCCTCGAGGTGGGGCCTCCCCAGTGCCCAGTCCAGGGGGATGGTCATTGCCCCAGTCCTGCTGGCCACACCGTTCCTGATACAAGCCAGGATGCTGGTGGCCTTCTTGGCCACCTGGGCACGCTGCTGGCTCATATCCAGTCAGGATCCCCTGGTGCAACTTGAGGCCGTTTCCCCTTGTCCCATGGCCTGTTCCTTGGGAGAAGAGACCAACCCCCCCTGGCTACACCCTCCTTTCAGGGAGTTGGAGAGAGCCAGAAGGTCTCCCCGCAGCCTCCTTTTCTCCAGGCTCAACACCCCCAGCTCCCTCAGTTGGTCCTCACAAGACTTGTGCTCCAGACCATCGCAAGTCTTGTGCTCCAGACCCCTCACCAGCGTGTCCCTTCTGTGGACACGCTCCAGCCCCTCAAGATCGTTTTTGTGGTGAGGTGTCCAAAACTGGACCCAGCCCTCGAGGTGGGGCCTCCCCAGTGCCCAGTCCAGGGGGATGGTCATTGCCCCAGTCCTGCTGGCCACACCGTTCCTGATACAAGCCAGGATGCTGGTGGCCTTCTTGGCCACCTGGGCACGCTGCTGGCTCATATCCAGTCAGGATGTCCACCAACACCCCCAGGTCCTTTCCCACCAGGCAGTTTTCCAACCACTACTTAACTGGTGGCTCCAATCTCTACGTTCTAACAGTTGCTCAGTTTAGATTATTTTCAGAGTGCAAAAACTCAGACAAAACCCAGCGCTTCACGGTATTTTTAAAATTAGGCATAATCCTGGCAGCAGATCCTGACGCCCTCTGGCTGGGGACTGAACGGGATGTGATACACAAATAAATGTGATGTGACACACACACACACAAACCCACCAACCCCCAAATGAAGCTATTTTCCATCAGCATTTTCCAGAGATGACAGGAAGTGTATTTGTTATGGAAACAGAATATCTTAATAATTCCCAAATTAAACAAATAACACACTTCAACCAACAATCTCACGAGTTTTGTCTTTAGAACAGAACGAAAATTTCGGTTTTCCGACAGCTGGGTTGGCTTCAGCATCCTGGCATGTCTTCTGGCCAACGGAGCCAAGGCTTTAACTAACTCATGGCAAAGCACCACCCTGATCCAAATTATTTAACAATCTAAACAGAAAGAAAGGAAAGAGCAGCAGGAAGAAATTCAGAATTTTGAGAAAAGCGAAATTCAGAATTTCAAGTAAAGGCTGACACCCCGGAGGGCCGTGCTGCCATCCAGCGAGACTTGGACAGGCTGGAGGGCTGGGCAAGGAAGAACCTCATGAGGTTCAACAGGGAAAAGTGTAGGGTCCTGCACCTGGGGAAGAAAAATGTCAGGTACCAGTACAGGTTAGGGGTGGACCTGCTGGAGGCAACTACTGAAGAGAAAGATTTAGGGGTCCTGGTGGACAGTAAAATGACAATGAGTAAACAGTGTGCTCTTGTGGCCAGGAAGGCCAATGGTATCTTGGGTTGCATAGGGAAGAGTGTGGCCAGCAGGTCAAGGGAGGTCATTCTCCCCCTCTACTCTGCACTGGGGAGGCCACAACTGGAATCCTGCGTCCAGTTCTGGGCTCCCCAGTTCAAGAGGGACAGGGAACTACTGGAAAGAGTCCAGCGAAGGGCAACAAAGATGATTCAAGGACTGGAGCATCTCCCTTATGAGGAGAGGCTGAGAGAGCTGGGACTCTTTAGTCTGGAGAAGAGAAGGCTGAGGGGAGACCTTATCAACGCCTACAAGTATCTCAAGGGAGGGTTGAAGGAGGAGGGAGCCAGACTCTTTTCAGTGGTTCCCAGTGAGAGGACGAGGGGCAACGGGCACAAGTTGGAACATAAGAGGTTCCACTCAAACATGAGGAGAAACTTCTTCACAGTGAGGGTGACAGAGCCCTGGAACAGGCTGCCCAGGGGGGTTGTGGAGTCCCCTTCTTTGGAGATTTTCAAGACCTGCCTGGACCGGATGGGCTGCACCCAAGAGTGCTGAAAGAGTTGGCAGACGTGCTCGCCAAACCGCTTTCCATCATTTACAGGAAGTCATGGCAGACTGGAGAGGTCCCAATGGACTGGAGGGTGGCAAATGTAACACCCATCTACAAAAAAGGCAAGAAGGAGGATCCAGGAAACTATAGACCGGTCAGCCTAACCTCAATACCAGGGAAAGTCATGGAACAGGTTATCTTGAATGCCATCAAAACCCACATAATGGGCAACCAGGGGATCAGGCCTAGTCAGCATGGGTTTATGAAAGGCAGGTCCTGCCAGACGAACTTGATCTCCTTCTATGACAAGATAACCAGATTATTGGACGAGGGAAAGGCTGTTGATATTGTATACCTGGATTTTCAAAAAGCATTTGACACTGTCCCCCATACAAATCTGCTGGAAAAACTGGCTTCACACGGCCTGGACGAGCATACGATCTGTTGGATCAAGCACTGGCTGACTGGAAGGTCCCAAAGAGTGGTGCTCAATGGATTCAAATCCAGCTGGCGGCTGGTCACTAGTGGTGTGCCTCAGGGCTCAGTGTTAGGACCATTTCTGTTTAACATCTTTATTGATGATCTCGATAAGGACATAGGGTGTATCATCAGCAAGTTCTCAGATGACACCAAGTTAAGCAGGAGTGTTGATTCCCAGGAGGATAGGGAAGCCCTACAGAGGGACCTAGATAGATTGGATCACTGGGCCAAGATCAATGGCATGAGTTTCAACAAGGGCAAGTGCCAGGTTCTGCACTTGGGCCACAATAACCCCATGCAGCGCTACAGGCTGGGGGAAGTGTGGCTGGAAAGCTGCCTGGAGGAAAGAGACCTGGGGGTTCTAATTGACAAACGGCTGAATATGAGCCGGCAGTGTGCCCAGGTGGCCAAGAAAGCCAATGGCATTCTGGCTCGTATCAAAAATAGTGTGACCAGCAGAAGTAGGGAGGTGATTATCCCCCTGTACTCGGCACTGGTGAGGCCACACCTCGAGTATTGTGTCCAGTTTTGGGCACCTCAATACAAGAGAGATATCGAGGTGCTGGAGCGAGTGCAGAGGAGGGCAACGAAACTAGTGAAGGGCCTAGAAGACAAATCATACGAAGAGCGGCTGAAGGAGCTGGGGCTGTTCAGTATGAGGAAGAGGAGGCTGAGGGGAGACCTCATCACTCTCTACAACTACTTGAAAGGACACTGTAGAGAGGTTGGTGCTGGTCTCTTCTCACAGGTAATTAACAATAGAACGAGAGGGAACGGCTTCAAGCTCCAACAGGGGAGGTTTAGATTGAACATTAGGAAGGAATTCTTCACAGAAAGAGTGGTCGGGCATTGGAACAGGCTGCCCAGGGAGGGGGTTGAGTCACCATCCCTGGATGTGTTTAAGGGACGTTTAGATGCAGTGCTGAGGGACATGGTGTAGGGGAGGACTTTGTAGAGCAGGGTAGATGGTTGGACTCGATGATCCCAAGGGTCTCTTCCAACCTGAATGATTCTATGATTCTATGATTCTATGCTCTGACAAGCTCTGGGCAATCCTGCTTCAGCAGGGGAGTTGGACTAGATGATCTCTATGGTTCCTTCCAACTCTAAAATTCAGTGAAATTCAGTGAAATTCAGTGAAAACAGAATTTCAGGAAAAGCGAAACAGAATTTTAAGAAAAGAAAAGTAGAATTTCAAAGATCGCATCACAAAGCGGGGGGCAAACCTAGGGATAAAATCAAGGATATTTATGTCCAGTCCAGCCCGACCATCATCATCCTGTTGCACTTGCTCATCAGAAGAACAAAAATCATGGGATTTACCAAAGGTCCCTTCGGTGAGTCACTGATGGAGGCGACACCAGAAACCCACTGAAGATTTCCTCTCCATTCTCACCCTTCCACGGGGATCAGAAGTGCCTTCACTTCAGCATCGCTGCCCGTATTGATAGATCAAGTTACCAGCAGCACTGGGAAACCAAGCAAAACCAGCAAAAATAGATGGGTCTAAGCGAAAATTAGAGGGAAATCGCTTTTTCTGTAGTGGCTGAAGCACAATAGACTTTGGAAGAATAGATGTACACTGAATTAAAAAGCCAATTGGTGCTACATAGATTTTTATCTCTCTTACAAATATCCTTATGAGATACAAAATTGTGTGTGTTGAAATGATACTGGTATTTTTTGTGGTTTTTGACACACTTTACT